TAGCTTGCCTCCTGAGTGCTAAGATTACAGATGTAGGTCACCACACCCGGCAAGGTCCTGACTGTTAAACACAGAAAGAGCTGTGTCCGTCAATTGGGTCAAAGGGGTCTAGCACCCACCTGAAGTTTTTGTAATTATACCAGATCTCTGGGGCTGATTGACTAGCTGTGAAAGACAATTGAATTTTGTTTTTGACCTGGTAACTTCTCTCACCTTTTCATAATTAACAGGTTTTTTGTTTTGTTGTTATTGTGGTTTTATTTGTTATTCTGGTTTTGTTTGCTTTGCTTTTGTCTTTTGAGACAAGGTCTCACCATGTAGTCCAAGCTGACTTCAGTCTTGCAGCAAGCCTTCTGCTTCACCTCCTGAGTCCTGGGATTATAGGCATGCACAACCATGCCCAGCTTAAAACAGATTTTTTTTTTTTTGTCTTTTTCGTTTTTATCGGTACCAGGGATCGAACTCATGGCTGCCTGCTTGCAAGGCAGGCGCTTATGCCGCTGAAAACAGATTTCTTAATGCATCTTTCTATTCCCATGGTATGAGCAGTCATCATTTCAGACCTTATGCTTGGCTCATCATATTTTTGTGCTAGATGGGTTCTGCCAGAGGGACAGTAACCTCTCCGGGGTGTTGGTTTTTCTCTGCAGCATATTGCTCATCTGTGCCTCCCTTGACCTCTGCTAGGAGTCTCTGCTTCTCATCATGGATCCAACCAGTGGCCAAGACAAACTGGACTTCTCCCCATGAGAGGTCAAAGAAAGGGTCAAAGTCTGAAAGCTATCTGCAAACCTACTGAGATCATAAAAAAAGATTGATCTAAAAGTTCATTGCCTTGTTGGGAATCTGCCACTGAAAAAGGAACCTGGCCTCAAGGAGGGAGGCATCCCCTCCAATGGGAGGTCTCTACAGGGCTGGGTGAGTTGTGAGTTAGGATCAAAACTGTCTAGGGAGCAGGAGGAGGGCTGGGGGGCTGGGTCTCTCTGGGGAACCAGCTGCTGGTGGAGTTTCTGAATCACTTAGAGAGGGTGGACTGATTAATTGCCCTGAAGATAAGGAGGCTGGGGATATTTCACAGTGTGGTTGCCTTTTAAACAGGTTGGGGAGACCCATATCCCCCTGAGAGACAGGTGGAGGCCTGGGGAAGGGATTCTTAGTTACTTCAATCTCCTCTTTGGTATTTCTTTAAGTACTGTACCTCTAGGATCTTTGCAGAGAGGGGGTTTCCATTAAATAGTCATAAGAGCCTGAACATAAGAGAATTTGTTTATTTTTGTTTTTTGAGACAGTATCTTACTATGTATGGTAGGCTGGCCTTAAACTCACTGTCTAGCCCAGCTTTGTCTTAAACTGGCAGTGATCCTCGTGTCTCAGACTTTTGAGCTATGGGGTTACAGGTATGTGCCTTCACATCTAGCCAGAATGGATTTCAGGCTGGGTGTTTTTTTTTTTTTTTTTTTTTTTTTTTGTCTTTTTCCTTTTTATCGGTACGAGGGATTGAACTCACGACTGCCTGCTTGCAAGGCAGGCGCTTATGCCGCTGAGCTAAATCCCCAGCCCCCCCCCCATTTTTTTCATGCCTTTTGTGGAAAAAATCTAACTGCAGAAGTGCTGTAATTTAGACTGAAATTCTGCCTCCATTTCTTGCCATTTTCTAGCTCATACTGATCCCAAACAACATTGCAATACAAGATAAGGTGGATTTTTTGTTTATTTTCCCTTCATATTATCAGGGTCAAATTGTTTCTAGTTTTAAAGGATCCAGCCTAATGATGAGGTTGCTGGGATCTGCAGGGGTCTCCTGGATGGCTCATCAAGAAAATAGTACCAGATGGTGGGTACCAGGGGAATTCTTCTTGGTGTCCTGAACAAGACACACACAGAAAAGGTAGTAGAGATATGTTTATGGAAGGTAGGAAAGAATTATACTCTGGGGAGTGAGACTGAGCCAGTAAACAGACTCACAGTAACCAAAACAAAACAAACAAACAAAAAAACCCTCCAAGACAGAATCTCACTGAATTCCTCAGGCTGACCTCAAATTCGCAACCCTCCTTTCTTAGCCTTCCCAGGGGCTGGAAAAGAGTTATGTGTCAGTGCCTGGCTCCACTTGTTTCTTTTTCACAGCTTCCACCTCTCTACCAACACTACTTATTGAATTATGGTACAATGTTTTTGTTTATATCATTAAAAATATTTAGTAAATCTGCTTTAAAATCTTTGCCACATTGAACATCTGAGTCTCCACAGTTTTTTGTTATTGTTTTGGTCATGGTGATGGTACTGGTGATTGAACCCCAGGCACTTTACAGTGAGGTAATGTCTGCCTTTCCTGGTTTTTATTTTGAAACAAGTTCTAAGTTGCTAAATTGCTTAGGCTGGGCATGAATTTGCAATCTTCCTGCCTCTGCCTCTCGGAATACTGTTAACATAGGTATATACCACCACAACCACAACTGCAAGGACAGTGTCAAATTTATATGTTTGCTTTTTGGTTATTTTTGTTGTTTTTGAGAGTGTCACTATGTACTTTAGGCTGTGTAGGCCAGGCTGGACTTGCAATGATCTTCCTGCCTCAGCCTCCCCAGGGTTCTGATTACAGGCATGCACCACCATGCCCAGCACCCTCAGTATTTTGAAAGCATTGCTCCATTATCATACTTTTTGTTTGGCTTTCTTTACCTTTTCTTTTTTCTTTTTGAGATGGAATCTGGGTTCACATGATGCTCCTGCCTTAGCCTCCAATAACTTGTGGCTACAGATGTATACTACTGTACCTAGCTCTTAACATTCACATTTCATTGACCAAAAAACTATTTTTATTATATACAACACATTTTTGACATATATGCATTGTGGAATGGCTAAGTCAAGCTAATTAACAAGTATATTATGTCATATACTTATGTATATGATGAGAACACTTAAAATCTATATATTTTTTTTCTTTTTCGTTTTTATTGGTACCAGGGATCGAACTCACGACTGCCTGCTTGTAAGGCAGGCGCTTATGCCACTGAGCTAAATCCCCAGCCCCAAAAATCTATATTCTTAACAAAGAAACAAAAAGAAAAGTACACAAAAAATGAAAATATTTTCTTTTTTTTGTAATGATTGAATTCCAGGAGTGCTGAGCTTTATGTTTAGTCCTTTGTTTTTACTTTTGTTTTGAAAGGGTGTAGCCTCACTGCTCAGGCTGGATTGCAATGTGTGATCTTCCTGCCTCAGCCTTACCAAGCTCTCCTAGTTGAGACAGTCTTGGTATGGAACTCATGGTGATCCTTGTAGTGTTGGAATTACACACATGCACCATGTCTGGCTTCTCCCAGAAATTTGTAAGAATCCAAACACTGCTATTAACTATAGTCACTATGTTGTACAACACATCTCTAGAACTTATTTCTGCTATCTAGCTTGGATTTTGTATCTTTTGACCAATTCTTCCCCCAACACCCTCACCCTTTAGGCCTGGATATTACTGTTCTATTCTGAGTTCAATTTTGAGATTTCACTCTAAAAAGCTGATTGGAAAAAAGTCACTATTATTGTTAAGTACTAGAAAAGTTAGGGAAGAACAAAAAGGTGGGAAGACTTGCTCTACTAAATACAACTCTGGCATTTAAAAGTGATACTGCTGGTGGGGCTGGTAGAGCATGCCTGTAATGTCATCATTTGGGAGGCTGAGGCATGAGGATCACTGCAAATTTGAGGCCAGGCTGGGCTACATAGTGAATTCAAGGTCAGCCTGAACTACAAAGCAAGACTGTCTCAAAAATTAAAAAAAAATTTTTTTAGTAAAAGTGTGATAACTCTGGGAGGCTGAGGTAGGAGAATTATAAGTTTGAGTCTAGTGTGGGCAATTTAACAACTTTTTTGAGACTATCTCAAAAAATAAAAAGGGTAAAGTATATGTGTGTCAGCATGACAACTCTGGGTTTAATTCCTAGCACCATAAACAAACAAAAAGAAGTACAGACAAAAAGGCAAGTAGATTAATGGAAGAACAGAAACATCCAGCACAGGTATATTTACAAATATTTATATAATTGTATTTTTCTGAATGAAAAAGAATATATTTAGTCCTATGACTCATCTCAAAGATAAATTCCAAGAGAATTTAAAAACCTAAGAACAACTGTCAAACATATCAGATAGGTGGTAGAAGAGTGTCCTTTTAAACTTGGATTAGAAGAAATTTGTTAAAACAGAAAAAGGAGACAAATTTAGCTTATCAAAAACTTCTGTTCACCAAGATACAAGAGAAAAAGAAGTTTCACTGTGAGCATCTCTGTCTTTGGTAACATGCCTCTTCAGAAGAACCCTTCATCATAAGTGGTGTTCAGAGAAACTGGAAATAAACAAATGTGGAAAGTCTACTACTCCTCAAAGCAGTGCTAAAACAATCTGAGACAAGTTCTCACTACGTTACAGGCAGACTTAAAACTTCCTGTGTAGCCTCATGCATCTGGCCTCAAACTCTATATATTCCTGCCTCAATTTCTTGGAGTTCTGGGATTATATAAGTGTGCACTACTACACCCAACTCTGCAAACAACTGTTAATGAGAAAAAAGATCTAGTAGTATTTGTGCTATACTTTCCTAACAGATATGAAAATAAAACAAGTTAAAAAATACTTGCCCAAACTTTTAAAAATTATCTATCTGAACTGCTTCCTCCTATAAATACCCTCCTGGAGGATATGATGTATCCCTTCATAGAAATGTAACTGAAATTATCTCTACTTGTCACCACAATAAGAAAATGGGGGCAAAAGGGGTGGGTCTTGCTATGTAGTTCAGGCAGGCTTCAAACTTACAGTGATCATTCTGCCTCAGCTTCCCAAGCATTTGGATTACAGATGTACACCACAGAAAGTCATTTTCTACTGGTGACTGACCCACCATTTATCAAATCATGTTTTTGAAGTGGAACAAAAAATTAAAGATTGTAAGCCAAGATAGAAAGTGAAATATTCTTAATGAAACCAAGACAAGACTCTTAGCATAAATAAAAGTTTTATTGGTCAGTCTGGGTGAATGACAGACTGATACAACCCCAGTTCCCTGCTCCACACTCCCAAGATCCTGAGATGACAGAAGACACTAACGCTTGTTGATAGAGAGCAAGAAGTGGGATATGGAAACAACCTGAAGGCCTCTGTAGTTTAACAAGGCTACCGGGACCGGAACCAACGTCCTAAGAATAAATCCAAGATAGAAAAGGCATCATCCAGAGCTGGAGGTCTTGGTGATTCTAGATCTAAGGAAAAAAGGCAGACAAACAGCTGGAGTGAAAAAGACCAGGCAGAGGCAGAAGGAAGTGATAACATAAAAGGGCAGAGTTTTGTTTTCCCCCAGGAGTTAAAGAGATGGACTTAGATCTGTACTCTTAACTCACCAGCTCTAGGATCACTGTCTGCTTCCTGACGGGTCACTGTGGTCTCTCGCCGGCCCTCACTGTCCACCACAGTCCGGCGCTCTTCTACAACCTACAAGCAGAAGCCTCGTTTCTAATATCACTAAAGCTGAGTCAGTGGTTTCTTTCATTCTTGTGGGAAATCAAACTCAGAGCTTCACACATGCTAGGTAACACCTACCACTGAGCTATGTTTCTGTCCCTTTTCTACTTTAAATTTTGGGTCTCATTAAGTTGCCCGAGCTGGCCTCAAACATACAGTCCTCCTGCCTCAGCCTGTCTTTGTCTTTTTGAGACAGGGTGTCACTATGCAGTTCAGGCTGGCCTTGAGCTCACTTTATAGCCTAGGCTGGTGTTGAACTTGCAATGATCTTTCTGTCTCAGCCTCCCAAAGTGCTGAGATTACAGGTGTGCACCACCATGCCCAGCTCTCTTTTTTTCTGTACTGAGAATCAAACTCACTACCTCATGCTTGCCAGGCAGGCACTGCGTTGCTGAGCTATATCCCTAGCCCCTCCTTCAGCTTTTTGAGTAGCTAGGATTACAAGTATGTGGCACCATACTTGTAATGGCCAGTTCAGTAGTTTCTTTACGTATGTTCCTCTTTCCAAGATGTTCCCTGGTCATATTATTCTTCACCCCTCTCCCTCAACTCACCCCATCTGGCTTAGTGATCTTGGTCACAGAGATGCTCTTAAAGTAGGACTTGGGCTGGGGCTGTAGAACTGGGCCAAGCCCCTCCTGGGAGACCTGCGAATCAAGGTCTGGAAGGGTAGAGAAAACACAGGAGAGTGGAAGAGAAAAGGAGACATGTAGCATACACTCACTGCAGGGAAAGAGAACAAGTTGAGCTTCAGGAAAACAGAGGGGTGGAATAAATATCCTCTCTGTCTAGACTCACCATTGTCTTCTCTGGCTCTAGGATGAGGAGTCACAGGCCATATATCATCAAACTGTAGAAGAAGCCACAGTAAGTAAAAAAACATCCTCCTCCAAACTGTCCCCAACTTCCAAAACCCCTTTTCTCTGGTGCTCTATTTATTCAATCTTTCCTCCTTCCTAAAATAATACTACCTTGTCTTCCTCAACAATCCTGCCTTACTTATCCAAGAATCATCTAGATCAGTAGTATATGGGTCTTTGTTTTTAAACAAGAAACAGAACTTCAGGGGCTGGAAATTTAGCTCAGCGGCATAAGAACCTGCCTTGCAAGCAGGCAGTCGTGAGTTCGATACCCGGTACTAAAAAAAAACAAAAACAAACAAACAAACAAAAAAAAACAGAACTTCATTTTCCCCAAAGAATATCCTGCAAGAAATTTAATATAGAAGACAGGATGGGGATATAAGTCAGTGGTAGGAGAGGTAGGTGTCTGACATAAACAAGGCTCTGGATTCAATCCCCAGCATAAGAAGAAAAGAAAAAGAGGGAGGGAGGAGGAGGAGAAATAAGAGAAAAGGGAAGGAGAACGAGGGGAGAAGAAGAAAGCATAAATACACTAAGCAGAAATTCCAACTCTAACCTATGAGATTTCACCAAGGACAGAAATCATTACACCTTAGTTTCACTTCGGGCCAAATGGAGTACTCACCCTATCAAAAGGTCTCTGGGACCCCCAGCCTGGTGCTGACTTTGGGGATTCAGTTCCTGGATCACTCTCCAAGACTTCTCTAAAGATCCTGGGCTGCTGACTATCAGGATACTTAAGCATTGAGTCTCGCAGTGTTTGTCCCTCCCGCAGTCTCTCACCAGGTGTCTCTGACTCAGGACCTGGAAGTTCTACAGAAAGGTGGTAGGTGGATGTTGGAGTGGGATTTAAATATCTCTGAAATCATCAGTCTCCTCAAACTTTCCATCCTCTATGACTCCCATTATTTCACCATCAGCCCACATAAACAGTTCTAAGAACCCCAAGAAAACCCACACACCAGGAGGGTGAGAAGGTAAGGTCCAGGCCCCCATCTCGCTGAAGAGGCTGTTGAAATCCCGTACTAGGTCATCAAAGCCAAAGTGATCTTGGAAATGCATCCCTCCACCTGGGCTGAAGCTGAAGCCAAAGCCAAATTCCTCAGGAGGCTGGGGACCATCAAACCTCCGACTCCCCCGGCTCCATGTGGTTCCTTCTTCTTCCTCCTCATCATCCTCATCTTCATCTCGAGTCATCCCTCCAAAAAAGGGATCTCTGTGGCTGAAGGTGGAGGCAGGTAAACCACCAAAACTTCAGCACTACTGAAGGCAGAATATCAATTCTAGTATAGCAAAATGGGGGCAAGAGCAGAGTTCTGGAAAGCTGGGGAAACTTTTGGAGGATTGGTTGCCAAATGAAAACATTAACAGCTGACAGATTTTTCCGTTTCTCGTTTTTGTTTTTCAGTCCTCACCTGCACTCTTCCCAAAGGCCGCCTATGGTTGCGTCTCCTCTGGTGTACCCAGCCCCGCCCCTCTCCCAAAGTCCAGCTCATTGGCCCACCGTCCTCCTTCCCAAAACAGCATTGTGTTCCCACCCAGGTCCCTGTTGCATCACCCCAGGATGGATAAAAGCTTAGGGTACTGTTTGTCCTTAACGACCATCTTGGTTACTGTCGCTGGGAGCTAGCCCAATGTAATGACTTTTATCTTCTCCGCAAGAGTAGGAGAAGGAAGTGTTTCCAAAAATAGGGTGAATCAGCCAAGCTCCTCCCAAAATTCCCAATCCAACCTAGATCTATTCTCACCTCCGAGGTCTAGAAAAGCCGAAAAAGCCCCGGAAAAGGTCAAACAGACTCATTCCGTATTGGGACTCGAACCTTTGAAACCCTCCAGCGGCCCATCCACACAAAACAGCCAGTTATGAGCTGTCGGAAATTGAGTGACGCGTCAGCCCACGCTGCCGAAAAGCAAGCCTGCGACGACGCGGCACTGTCGTAAAACCACTGAGAGATGGAAGAGGAATGCAGGGAAAGCGGCAGGATGGTGCTTCTCTAAATGGAAAGGGTGTATCTTTACCGCACCTTTTAGCTTTCTGTGAAAGGGTGGGCGTTCCAAATTCTCATTTTCCAGTTACAGCCTCCCAGCTGGGTCGATCCTCCTTCCCGCTTGCCTGCCGGGCCCTCGACGTTGTGGAGTGTTCGCGCCGTGGTCCCCGTGGCCGCCAGAGGGCAGGACAATCGCACTCGTGAACGTGCGGCGACCACCCTCACCCAGCGGCCCCCTCCTGCCAGTGTTTCTAGACGGACCTGGATGTCATGTAACTGGACAGGCAGTTTACCAAACACTTCAAATACTGAACATCTCAGCCCTGAATAAAGGTCATGAGGAGGCATGCAATTCATCTCTCCACAGCTACAAGGGAATTACACACTTCCTATAGAGCCTCTGTAGACCAGCAAGATAAAAGAATTCGTAGCCCAGCTAGGGAAGAAAAGCTAGTGAAACACCCAGAAGAGGAACGAGGAATTTAGGGCAGTAAGAACCCTTTCCAGCCTGGCACCGTGGCTTGAACCTTATGTAGTCCCAAATACTTCGGGGCAACAGGAGACCCATCTCTTAAAGGTGGAGGCCCGGGGAGTGGGTGAGTGCCCCTGGGTTTGACCCCCAGTGCTGGGGAAAACATTAATAAATCAGGTTTTATATCGTTTTGAAGCCTCTGTCTCTACATGCGTCCCCACCCAGCTCTTAGCTACACTCCTTTTCAAGGGACAGGGTATTACTAGGCCACAGAGAAGAACGCAGAAAATGAAAAGTGCTTGGGAGTTGGCTCCTAAAGAAGGGGCCCCAAGCCAATGGCAAATTTTACCCTCAGCCTCCTTTTGGGGTTTTATTTGCCTGGAACTGCCTTAAATCATGCTTAGATTTCATAAAGCTGTTTCTTTGAGTTTCAGTTTCTCAACCTGTCTTTCCACCCACTCTATTCTTCCACCACACTGCTTGAGACCTGCTGCTACTGAGGGAAATGCAGATTTGTAGTGGGTCTTTCCAGTCACAGAACCCTCTCAAGGGCAAAATACTAGCACATTAAGGTCAGAAGTTCTTAAAGGGCAAAGATTTCATTTTATTCCACTGCTTCCGAAGCCTGCAAGGGGAAGCCCAGTTGGTACGGGAATACTTATTCACCAAGCTGCTCATCGACGAGACTGAGGATATCCTAGACGGAGCAAGAATGGGCAGAGGCTGAAGGTAGAGGTTTTCTTTTTATATATACAAGACACATTAATCCATTAAATTTGAGGACACAGTACAAAAAAAAAAAAAAACACTTCAACTAATTCATCTGACAATGCTTTTCATATTCATGACGCTTTTTGTTGTTGCTTTGTTTTCCTAATAATAAAGGAGGAGACAGGGCTGTTGGGCTGATATATATTTGGGGGGTCCCCCCTCCCACCTCACCCATACACCACCAGGGTGAACAGGAAGAAGTGAAGGAAGGGCAGGGCCCACAGCAAAGTTTCATAATCTTGAATGCGAGGGGTAGGACAAAGAAGGGAGGGGAGGAGAAAATACAAATCCTATAATACATACAAGGTGGGGATGGTATGGGAATGGGACAGATGTGAAGCTGAGGCATGGGGTGGGCCACTGGGGTGGGGGCTGCACAACCCCCAACATTCCTCTCTTTGATGATGTTTCCATACTTTCCAGGCTGAGAAGCCCTCTCAGAAGATGGGACCGGGAGAAGAGGGTCAGGGCCTCAATTGGCCCCCCAGCTGTAGCTGTTGTAGGCAGACTTGTTGGTCTGGGGCTTCTGCGGGATGGAGCTGGTCTGGCTACGTTGCCCGCTGCCCGTCTGGAGGGAAATGGAGGATGATGGGGAGGAAAAAGGTGTCTAGTTAGTGGGACAAATCTGTAACATCTTCAGATGGAAATGTGCAAACTGTCTTGCTTGCCCATTACCTTTACACAGAACACACTATGATGCTTACTCTTCAACTATGCATAAGACAATTTAGTTTCCACAGCTGGCAGAGCTTTTCTCTTATAAAACTACAATGCATTTTTGACATTTCAATAGGGAAAAGATGAAAACAGGACCTTTAAAAATAAAAGTCAGTTCTACTCATTTTTAATGTCATTTTCTCTAACTCCCACCCAGTCCAAAAGAGGGAAGGGGATTACTATGAAAATCATCACCTCTTGGAGATAAGTGATCCTAATTCCATTTTCACTGACCTCCTTTAGGTCCCTCAATTTGGAAAGCTGTCTTTGAGAGCAAGGAAGCCTTTATTCTAGCTCTTCAGGCAGCTGCAATGGAGCTCTCCAGAGGTGATGCACTGCCCCACGATCTACCCACCACCAAGTGTCATATAGGTGAGCCCACTGTCAACAAGATGGGAGAGACCAACTAGGACCCCAGGCTCTAGATACTGTCCAGAATCTTTCCCTTCTCATACCAAGTGTTTTCCAGGGTTGACACAGGGTACAAAGATAAAGAGGGTGTTGAGGAGGGGAGGAAAAAAGGATGGGGAGGCCAGAGAGCTTAGCAAGGTGTTTGTTATGTTTGTGTATCCCGATTTGTGACCGCGCAGTCTTTTCCAAGTTCCCTGAGGCTGTGGAAGTGAAATGGGGACTGAAAAGGAGTGGATTCAAGTATAGCATTCAGTTTCATTACCTGCTCCTCCTGCTGGTGCTGGCAACAGAGAATCATCTGCAAATATGGTAGCTGAGGCAGAACCAGGATATATGGAAAATAAAGGGACAAACTTTGACAATAGAACTCCACCATTAAAAGGGAAAGCTATGTCAGGGAAAGGGGAAGGCTGGGAGAGGTTAAGAGGGAAGGTGTGACCCAGGTCTGATGGGATGAGGAAAGCTATGCCACGGGAGGTGGTGGAGAAGAAAGGCACCCCCAAAAAGGATTTTAATCTGGCTCCTCTCACATTTCCTTTGGCCGGCCGCTCGTGTTATGTGCGCTTGTGTATGTGCTGTGTGCCCCTGGCTGGTGTTGGGGAGGAATGGGTGAGGGTGGTGGTGAGGAAGGGGAAGAAAAGGAAAGGGGAAGCAGTTTCAGGGGACACGAAGAGGAAGGGAAAGGAGAGAGGGGTAGGACTATTACCTGGCCATCCTGCTGCAGATGATGGTGAAGGATCTGGGAGTGCGGCTGCTGATGGGGGGTCAGAATGTGCATAAAGGGGGCAGGTGGATAGGCAGCAGCTGTGGCCGGATTGATGGGCCCCCCACTTCCTAGGGCTGAAGGCAAGTTGAAGGAGGCAGCCGGAGTACCGGAATGAAAACCTTGTTTCTCAAAGGACTGCTATCCAGGACAGGAGGAGAGAGAGTACAAGGGGTCAGCAAAGGCTCCTGGGAGCTTCTGAGACTGAGTCCCCCACCCTCAGGAAGGAGCTTGGTAAGGACAATGCACCCAATGTCAGATATTTGAATCTCAGCCCTGTTCATATTCTTTAATAATCCTAGGCAAATGATTCAGTCTGACAACCTCGGTTTCCGCATCCATAAATATGGATGCTACTATTTCTGTTTTAAGGTTCAAGCCACAGATTGAATATACAAATGTTCTGTAACCTGATGTTGTAATATAAACATAGGAAAATGTGCTGACTAGTCTTGACATCCACACCCCTGAAGTAGGGTGGATATTATAAGCCTTGGATAGTTTAAAAAAAAAAAAATTGCACACATATTTGAGGTACCTTGAATATTCAAGGTCTTGGCTATCAGGTTCGCCCCCAGGTCCCCTGAAACCATAGCAAACTTTATGCTGATAAGGAATAAAAGCACAAAAACACAAAGACTTGTGGGGAACAGTAACATACCTTTTGGGGTACTCGGTTGTTTGTTTGCCCATTCCCTCTCTTTTGTTACAGATTTATTAAGAATGGAATGAGCTAGCTTCCCTTCATCCCTGTTTCTGTTCTCTTAGAAATGTTACAAAGGTTATGAGTGGGTAAAAGGATAAGGACAGCCACACAGTAAATCATATCACAACAGCTGGCCACACCTCACCTTCCTATTACAATTCTCCTGCTTCTAGGAGGGCTAAATTTAAATTCCTGGAAAAACTAAAGCTAGACTGTTCATTTAGAAAGAGAAGATGGGTCTAACAGCTTTCCTAGAGTTGTTCTTGCCCAATGTCTTCTATCATTGCAGCTCTACCTCCTCTATGTCCCGTCTTTTTCTACTTTCACCTACAGCCAGGCACCTACCTGGGTTTTGGAGTACACAGAACCCGAGATATCTGGCACGCCCGTGTTACTGGAGGTGACTGATACACCTGGGGGAGGAGGAAACAGACAGGAGGATTAGCTCAGCTAGCTGCCTTGCCTCCTTCCTGGAAATCGAGGTCTGCAGCCTTTCTAGCTATAGCACTGCAAGGGAATTTTGGTCTGTTTTCCACCTTCAGGTCAATCCTTAGAGATAAGAATTCATGACAAAGGCTCCTTAAGGGTTCTTTGGTCCTTTCCAGGTATATACAGAATATCTGTGTGAGACTGAGCAAAGCTGTTTGAGGCAAGGGGATATAACCAATCCTTACCAGCATATGGGACTTCAAAGCACATCCAAAGTCAAACAATGTAATAATTTTTAATGTAAACTTTTAGTAACTATTTCAAGTTAATCTACCCGAACTTTACTTAGTTCTCCTTAAGATTTGAGTAGTCTAGCTCTTTCTGTTCCCTTAGAGACTTTGGGCTCAAAACCCATACCTCACAGCATAACCTGAGTCCTAAGGAGCAGGCCCATTTATTCCTCAAGAACTTTTCCATTCTCAGAGCCTCAGCTCACACAGTCGTTTTGGAGCTTCTAGTCTAGTGATGGCAAACTTTATTTAGAGCTTTCAAAAGTGACACAAACAATCCACTGTGGCACATATGCCATACATTCACCACTGTTCTGGGACATGTCTTTAGCATGTGAAGGCTGGCACAAGGATGAATTTCCATCTACACACACTAAATGCAGTACAGGGGAGGGGAAGGAAGGAGGCGTAAGGGCAGGCTATTTCCTATAGCCTATGTCAAGACACAAAAGTCTAATGTAATTTTTAGTTTACAAACTCATAAAATAAAAGCTCTAGTCAGACCATACCCCAACTTGCATGTTTCTTGTTAAAGACAAGAAAATAGGAACCTTCTATGCTGTCAGCTCTTCCTCTTAAAGAGACACACTCCTGCCCCTGCTAAGGAGCACTCTGATGGTGAAGTTCTAAGTAATACATATTACA